ATGAGTTGCATTTAGTCCACAGGCCTGTTTTGGGGGGCATGAATGCTGCTTAAAGTTTTTGAAATCGTGGTCAACATCTGCATTTTATAAAAGTTTTCATTAAATTCTGGATTTGTGGCTTCTGTTCAATATTGCAGCATTTGATTATGGGCCCAGATTCCTACATGGGAACAGCAGGTTGGAGCTCAGTCTGCTGTGGATGGGCCTTTTTTTCCAGTTTGCCAGCTGACCCACTTCAAATTCTTGGCCCCTAAACTTGTAACCTCTGGAATAATGCTTTTTAAGGCAACTTAGTCACTGAATCATTAAAGGAACTTGTTCTAATGTGTTATCACCTGGAATGCGAGAATTTACAAATTGTAATAAGTTTTCTGAGGAAAGCTGGGGAAATGTGTTTTTTGTAACATGTTCTTAAAAGGCATGAGGCATGGTTTGGAGTTCCTAAGAAATTTAAATGTTTTTTGGGGTTCCTTGACCAAATGGACAGTGTTTTAGGATCCTTATAGAACATGTCCAGGGGTTGGGACCAGTCACATTTTATACAGCTCCTCTCCAAAATGTAGCAATATCTTAGCATAGTGGATTTCAGTGTGTGGTCCCTGCACCAGCATTATCAACATTACCGAGGAGTTTGTTAGAAATGCACATTCTCAGGCCCTGCCCCACTGAGTCAGAAACTCTGGTTGTGGAGCTCAGCAATCTGTATTTAGTTACCTCCCCCCATTTCCCCAGATGATTCTGAACTAGTCTGTTAAAAAGATAACCTGTAATACAATAATATAATAATACAATATAATTTAGATTAATATTTAGTTTGTTTTTATTTCTGAAAAATTTCAATAATATTGACAAATTCAACTTGAGAATTATTTAAATTTTGAATGATGAAACTTGTTATGTCCTTATAATCGAGATTTACACAAATGACCCAGCTCAGGAAAGATTTCTGGATTTCTCCTGCCTACTGCACTTAGGAGGGAAGTCAGCTCTCTGTGATGTGACGCATGAGATATTGGCCCAGTGTGGTAAGCCCGGCCCTGTCTGGCTCCGGGCTTGTGTTCTCTTGGTAAAAGAGGGACACAGCACACTCATTATATTTCAGCTTTGCCCAGGGCTCCTGGTTTGTGAGTCACTCTGTGTCTGGTCAAACTGGACACCTCTGGCACTGATCCTATTGCTTTGCGAAATAATGGAAGGTAGCAAGTGACCAGTAAATGTTAGCTGTCATTGTTGCTGTTATTATTGCTGTTTTGTTCCTGGCTGTGTTGACATAAGGTGGTTCAGAAGGCTGTCCTCCCAGTTTCCAGATAGAAATCCAAAATACAGTCTGGGTAGTGGCTGCAGGTTATAATTGTAAAGGAGTCATGTGCAGCCTTGCTGCAAAGCAGGCAAAATCATCCAGCGGTCTTAGTTTTCTTTCTGGCATGGCCTCCCTTTTATGTTTAAGATTATATTTATTTTACCAATTTCTAAATCTACTTTGCAATTGCACACAGTATTTTTGTAATCTCTGAGCTTCTCATGTTAAGCAAAAAGAATCTGTAATAGAGCAGGTGGCTCGCTGAAAGCTAGAGGTGATGGTGTAAGTTTGCAGCTGCTCTCCTTGAAGGGCCTGGTTGGCATACCGGACCACAGAGAAGACAGGCCAGAGTAAGGAATAGGCAGCTGTCTAATTTGGAGGAATGAAGATCCTTGGGATTAGGGCAGAATCTGAGAAAATATCGGCTGACTCATTCACAAACTAGAGAACTATTGTCTGTAGACTGTACCTGTCTTTCCCTGCATGGTAAAGTTTTTCCATGAAAGATCTCAAAGGATAAGACCAATGTTCTTCTAAAGCAGCGGTTCTCAATCTTCCAAATGCCATGACCCCTTAATATAGTTCCTCATGTTGTGGTGACCCCCAACCATAAAATTATTTTCGTTGCTACTCTATAACTGTAATTTTGCTAGTGCTATGAATCGTCATGTAAATATCCTTTTGTTTTCCGATGGTCTTAGGCGACCCCTGTGAAAGGGTCGTTCGACCCCCAGAGGGGTCGTGACCCACAGGTTGAGAACCGCTGTAAAGGTATAGTCATCAGGATATGGTATTGTTTCTTCTAGGGTGCTTTGCTATGTAATAAGGTGATTTTATTTTTTTTTTAAAGAGAGGGACATGTTAAATATTTGAAAGGAGAAAACATTAATGAGTTTGTGTATATCAACCCAGTCATGTAAAGCATCAGCTGGACAATTGGCAAAATGTTTTGTTATGCCTGAAATTTTTCGTTCCAGTATCAGAATGCTGTTGAACAGCATTGCTGGTGTAAGACAGGGCAGGGTGATGCAAAAGAGGGAGGCCTCTGTGTCAGGAGGGGAGTTAGGACACGGCCAGTGATGCACAAGTTTTCTCTCCCTTTGATTTCCCTGGGTTCCCTTTGATTCCCCGAGTGAGAACTCAACTGTCTGTCTGACCTAGGAGATATTGGCCAAGCTTCACCAAGCAGAAGACCATTTCTTGACTGTAGTGCTTTTGAGACTTAACTGAGAAAAACATTTGAATTTCAAAAACATCTAAGCAAGGTAAAGGGTAGGAGCTTTAAAAACTTCCCTAAAAATCAGACAGAAAACTCCCGTTAAAAACAGTCAGTTATTGTAATGTACAGCATGGTGACTATAGTTAATAATACTGCATTATATATTTGAAAGTTGCTAAGAGAGTAAATCTTAAAAGTTCTCATTACAGGAAAAAAATATTTTAAACTATATGTATGGTGATGGATGTTAAAAAAAATCGGTTATGTTTTCATCGTATAGGCAGCTTCCAGTCGGACATATTTTAAAATTGTTAAAATTTCTACATAGATTTTTGTGAAGAATGTGTTTATTTGGTGTAATTTCTGAAAGCTTTTAAAGTTTAAAAAATTATTCTAAAGTTCTTAAAGTTTTAATTTTGCATTATATTTACTTTAAAAAAATTTATAGGTATACAATGAAAAGAAAGGTATTTTTCAGAATTCTGACTTCCAGTTTCATAGTTCCCATCTGAGATGATCTCTGTATGCCATATATTTTAGAATAAGCAAGAAAAATAAAAAACAAATGGAAAAAGACCATTGTGACAGAAGAACAACAATATGCGTTTGTGACTTTTGGCAAGTGGATTTGTAAAATAAATTTAATTTCACATGATAGCAATAGTCGTTATGAAACCTAAATTCTTAGTGGAAAAGAACATCAAACCAGATTATCCAAACTTCAAGATAGATTGTTGATGTTTTCTTCCCCCCACAGGGAACCAGGAAATGTCAATAGTGGGAGTCTGGGAACCAGAATTGCTGAGTCCTTATGTTCACTGTGACTCATGTTTATGGAGACCTGGCCTGTGGAAGGCAGTTTTCAGGTGTTTGGGATTCAGAGACCATAAAAGATGCTCAGGTCTGAAGAGCCTTGACTCTCCTTCCAGTAAACCAAGCATAAATTACTGCTGGAGAATAATAAGTGGTAAAACCACACAAACAGATAAAATAAGGAACTGTTCAGCAGACAGTAGCTCAAAATTGAGAAAGCAAGGAGACAAGTGTTAGCACCATCAATAGGGACCTTGAAGTCTTTAGATAACTTTCAGTGTATTAAGTCGACTGAACTGCATTGAATAAAATGCACTTACAAAATTTTTATTTTATAGGGGTATTTTAGTAAGCCTGTCTGGAAATAAGGACTTTGGTTGTAAGACCTACTTTGAGGCAAATACATTTCTCAAAATTCAATTTAAAAGAGCAATGCCATTTTCAGAACATGTGATATCAAAGAAGATGCCTGCCTTGGGTGGTGAGGGTTTCTTGGCTTATTGCTGGGACACATGTAGCTACGTTTTCTGTGGTAACATGTTAAAGCCAGAATGTTACAGTTCCATCTTAGAATAGACTTCTAAGTTGGAAGAGTTTCTTTTCGTTATACAAAATAGCAGGGTAAAGAAAGATATATAATTGAGCTCTGTTAAGGGGGCTCTAAAAGCAGATATCCTGTGGGTTGTGGTCAATGTATAACAAGCTGCTTTTACTATCAGTATGTATGTATAGATAAATATTAAAATGTACTCATGTGTCTGTATTGTGAAAACCATTTGTTAAAATACTATAACTTTGGAAATATGGGAAAATTGAGTGGATTTTATTGAATTCTATCAGTGTTGTCTTTGTTTTACTTTTATTTGAATTTTGATTGATATTTCGATTTCATTTCAGCAGATAGTTTTATTTGTACACCTCTTTTCCTGTTTAGCATGTACACAACATACCATGTTACTTATTTTGGGTTTAGTTGAATACTTGAGCATGTAGCACATTGCCAGCCATATAGCAGATGCTTAATAACTGTTTGTCTGAATCCATAAATTTAATATATGGCTATTGTATTAAGATGTTTGCTGATATAATCCTTTTTATCAATCCATTTATTCACCTTCTTTCGTTAACCGTTTATTTTAAGATCATTAAAAGGGGCCTTTTACAGAACATTCTAGAAAGAAATATTAATATTGGTGCTGTAGTTAATATAGGAATTTAAAAATTTTTAAAGAGGAAAATTGACTGGTTGACACATTTAAAAACAAACTATATAATATGAAAAATATAGGTGACTTTTATGGGAAAAATGTGTGGTAGGTAGGATATGAAAAAAAAGATAGAATTTTACATATAAAATCAAGAGTAAATCTTCAAAAATGGTTCCTGCTAATAAAGATGCTAAGAACTTAATTATTTCCTGCTGTTATCAGCCTCCTTTCTTGGAGAGAAACATATTATATTGTCAATTCTTATATCATGATTGGGTTGTAAAAAGCCTGAGCTAGTAACCCTCCACCCCCCAAATACTTACGGACAAATGCCATGGAAATTAAAGTTGTTGAATTTCACTGGTTGTGTTGCATCTTTGAAAGTTAAGAGATGATTTTTGTCTTTTGTATATGTCAACATTGTCGCTGTGGTTACACTATTTTTATTCCCTCTTTCTAGTCTTACAGTTTATCAAGAAAGAAAATAGTGCACTACACCTGTTTTGATCAACGGAAAAGAGCCAATGCAGCGTTTTTGATAGGTGCTTATGCCGTAAGTAATTTTTTCGTAATTATCTTCTATAATCAGAATAATGGAATGCTAACACTGTTACATAAAATCTAGGCCACTTTTTCGGTGGAATTGGGAAATGTTGAAGATTATTAGAAACTTGGGAATTGATCTGGAATGGAAAGCTGGACTAGTATTGATGAGCTAAAATACGTCCTCTGTTTTTATTTTCTAGTAGCTAATGACAGAATTGCAGAACCACAGTGTGTAGCTTGGATTCCACAGTTTTATAGGTGTTTTAAAAAAGTACACCCAGAATGGATAGTTCCAGGAAATAATATATACTGGGGGTGCCAAAAACACGTATACAAGTGGACACTTTTGTTAATGTTGCTCAAGCAGTAGTTCGCTGTAATCAGAAGTGTCTGGACTCTGATGATAACCATTTGGAGCACCTCTTGTAATTGCAGAAGTCAAACATGACTTGTATTCATCTTTTGTTATCAGTATATATTATTACAATTTTAATACAGTTTTTTGCTTTATTAAAATGTGTATACATTTTTTTGACACCCTCTGTATATGAAGATTTTAAAACATTGTTGAGGTTCCTTTTTTGGGATAAAAGGAAATCCTAGATTGCATGGGAAAGGATTATTACTATTATTTTTATTTTTATTAATCCATTTATTCACTTATACAAATGATTGTCCCCATCTCCCTCCCACCCCCTAGTTTATAGTAGGCAAACTGAATATAAGTCCTGCATGTAATTACAACTTCCCCAATAACTAGATAAGACTTCCTGAAAATAATTTTGATTAGAAATTTTGTTCTCTGTAAACACTAAAATGTAAATATGAATCCCACAAGAACGTGCTGCAGAGTTTTGTTGTGACTTTGTAGAATTTTCTCTATGTACTGGGGTTGGTCAAAAACTTGGAAGGTAGAAGCCATCAGGACTAAAACTCACTTGCAACCTATTATAGCTTTTTAGGGATGAGTATGATAATCCAGTTAAGAATATTCTGGTTTAAGGCAGGGGAGAGAGGTGTCATTTCCTTTCATCCTTGGAGAAAGTGTGCTGCTCAAAAGCATGGAAGCAGATTGCTGAGTGACCTTTCAAAGGCCTCCCTCTGAAGACCTTGACGGAAGGAGGCACTGGCTCCTAGATATCAAACTTTGCCACATCAGACCAAAAGCTGTGGAGGAAAAAGCCCAGTGCTGTTGTTGGAAAGACTGTCATCTCCTGTAGCGTGTATACTGAGAATAGGGGCAGGCTGTCAGCTAGACTGCAGCCCCAGCCCTGGTTTCCAAGACACAGATGCCCAGCTTTGCCCACCGTTTCTCCCCCTGATGTGGCTGCCTACAGGAAAGCTTTGGCCCATCTCTTGTGGTACTTCTTTCTCACTCTCTGTACACAGCATGGTTATATAGTACAAGGAATCATGACTAAGAATCCGAAAAACACTTTTTTGCTGAGGTGGCTATGGAATGATGGGTAAGCCACTTTATCTTTCTTAGCTTTATTTAGTTTCCTTATCTGTAAAATGAGAGGGTTGGATATAACGCCTCTAAGTTTCCTTCCAATTCTGAGGATACTAGGATTATTTGTAGCGCCAGCCAGGCTACTGCTTTTATTTTAAGAGCAGACACGAAAAGCTGGCATTTGGCATGAAGGTTCAGTGTGAAGTGCTGGTAAGCTGAAGTAAGCAGGCATTCTTCCTTTTCACTTCATGTTGACAATTACTAATCCATTGAAACTGATAATTGACACTGTGTTTAAAGTATGGAGAGCTTGGAATAACCTCTAGACTCAAGCCTTGTCAACAAGCGTTGTCTTTACTGAGGAGTTTTGTGCTGCTGTGTTGCTGAGCATGTTATTGGTGAGTCCTTTGTCATAATGGACTGCCATCAAGAAGAGGTCATCAGCTCTCCCCTTTCCTCCCCCGTCCCCTTCCTTGTCCCTTCTCTTTCTTCTTTCCTTTTCAGTGCCTGGCCTTCCTATTTTTAGTGTCATCCTTAATTTCAGTATGGCACCTCTAGAATTTTGAAAAGAAGTTTAGTTATAATAGGTGTGTTGAGCTTGGAATAAAATACGTTTCCTAATGCAGAAACTTCCACCACTTTAAAGCAACCAAATGAAGGATAAGCAGTCTTGGCGTGGGTGCAGTGCTGAGGGCAGCACCAGCTGGGCTCACACATTAGTACCATCCTAAGGAGCCGTGTACAGGAATTATTCTTGTGTTGGTCATTTCCCAATTGATTTTCCTTTCTGATTTGGTAATGTTTTCCCCACAAGGGTTTTTGGCACAACTCTTAATTAATATGAACACCAAGAATTATAATCTTTCCTTCAGGAGAAGTTTCTGCCTTACTTCCTATTGTGTATGTACAGTTAATTGTTGACACATCTTGTCAGAAGACAGTCAATACTGCGCGTTATACGCACATCTCAGTTAAGTCCCACATGTATTAAATGTTGCTGTTTGGATAAGTTGTAACCTCCTGGGGGATTCTTCTTGAATACAAAGGACCATAACCTTTGGAGCAGCCATATAGCCTATATGTACTTCTGTGCACTTCTATGGGGCAAGCTACGCAGGTGTTTTTTTCAGAGAGAAGTCCTGAACAGTGAAGGTGTTTCTCTTTTTTAAGTGTGGAATCAACCCTCCATCAACGGGCACTGAATAATAAAAACTATTTTGTACTAGGACAAGCCTTTTTTTGTGAGCTTTCGTCTTCTCATTTGTAAAATTTAGATAATACCAGGGTTTCCTCATCTGCCTTATATCAAGATCACATATCCAACTGCCCGTTGGATAGCTCCACATTACGTATCTAAGTGACATCACACATTTATTATGGCAAAACAGAACTTGTTATTTCTTCTCTCCACAAACCTATTGATTCCTCCAGTCCTTGCCTTTTTAATAAATGAACTGCCATCAGGGACTTGCTAAATCAAAGGATAATTGTCATTTTGATTTCTCTTGTTTCCATCAGTAAGTTTGGTCAGCTCTATTTGTAAAACATATATTGAGTCAGAATACTTCTTTCCATTTTTATTGCTGTCACCTAGCCCAGGCCACTGTCGTCGTTCTCTTACATGACCATCACAACTTCATACATTGTCTCCTTTTTGCACTCTTGCTTCCCTTTAATCTACTTGCTACACAACTGTCAGAGTAATCTTTTAAAAATATAAATTAGCTCATGTCATTGTCCTGTTTCAAACCTGCCTAATGATGTTCACTGTTCTTGGAATAAAATTCAGCCTCCTTACCAATGCCATTAAGATCCTCCCTGATCTGGCCCTGCCTACCTCTGTGATCTCCTTGCTCAAGATGCTCCCCCATCACATGGGCCTTCTAACCATGGAATTCCACGCTTGTTCCTACCAGAAGGCCTTAATATTTCTGTTCTCTCTGTGAGGAATGTTTTTACCTCAGAACTTTACATTTTTGATTTCTTATAATGTTACCTCCTCAGAAAGACTTTCTCTCAAGTTTTCCCCTGCTTCTTCCATCTCCAGCCACCTTCTGGCCCTTTGCTGTCTTCTTTTCTGGCAGCACTCTAGTTAAAATTATCTGATTCATTTATGAATTTACTTGCTTATTACCTCTTTCCTAGACTAGAGAGTAGGGACCTTCTCTGTTTCATGCATTGCTATGTGTAGGAAGTGATAAAATATTTAACAAGGTTTTAGGCCCAGGCATCCACCAACTGGAAGCTGGCCACAATGGAGCCTTCCTGCTGTGCTGAATCATGGGGAAGTCCAGAGTGGGGATGTCCCAGGGAAGAGATGAGGTGGCCAGTGTGGAGGGGGTGGGGTACGCCAGGCGATGAGCTATGGAACTATTTCAGTATTTGAACACTGAGCATCAGCTTAGAACTGTGCCTGGTACATAGTAGGTGCTCCATAAATATCTATTGAATGAATAAATGATGGAATGACAAAAGATGAAAGAAAGAAGGAAGGTAACTTCAGAGGAAAACTCTGAAAACAATTAAATTGAACATAAAATATAAAATCTAGTTAACATCTGTCACCACACAGAATCACAATTTTTTTTTCTTATGAGTTAACCATTTTTTTTTTTTTAAGATTTTATTGGGGAATTGGGGGAGGGGAACAGACAAGTTGCTGTCCTTCTGTTCTTCAGTCTAGTTATGGAGGACGTCGCTTCACTGGCCCATGTTGGTATTGTGATCATTGCGCTCTTCCCAGGTGAGGCAGATCGGTCGCCGGCCTCTGGACAGCCGCTCACAGCAGCTCACGACAGCTCATGCCCGCTGCCGGCCAGCCCCACTGCAGCCTACGCCATCGCTGGAGACCCATGTCAGCCCAGCTCCAGGTCGAGCTGCTGTTCACCATCTTAGCTGTAGAGAATGTAGCGTCACTGACTCTCATGTGGGATCCGAACCGGGGCCCTGCTGCTCAGAGCTGGCGTCCCAAGCCCACTCCTACCCAACACGTCACTCGGCCGGCCCATCAGTTAACCATTTTTAAGTGTACAGTTCAGTGGTGTTAGGTACATTCATAATGTGCAACTATCACCTTCTGAGTGTGACGTTTTTATGGCAAACATGCACCTACAGAGTCAGGGCTTGGCTTGTGGTTCCTCCGTTAGTTCGTGATTTTAAGTGTCACAGAACCTTTTGTGTTTCTATTTCTTTATTTCTAAGTAGGGGAGAGCCTTTTTATGTTTTATTTCATAGAGCTGTCCTGAGTGTCAAAAAGGAGATAAAATATGGACTGTCATGTTCAGTAGAAAATCCACAAACCTTTACCTGTGGGTTATCCTAAAACCAGCGCTGATGGAGTCCTATGGCCATTGGAGATCACAGCAGCAATACCAAACAGATGACAGACACCCGTTTCAGGGGAGACCCCACTCATGAAGCATTTCTTTATCCCTAAGCTGTGATGTTGTGCTCCTAGAGATGGAGAGCTCAGAATTTAAGAAGAAACCAACTTTGCCAGAAAGGTGTTTCCCTTCCAGGACACTACTCAGTTCAATTTTAGTGTTAGGAATTAG